GCATGAAATCTAACTAATGCACAAATATAAATTTTTATTCAAATTCAAAATATAATCTCTAATTTTTGGTAAAGTAATTTTTACTTTACTTATTACACAACTGTTAAAATTTCTTATAGTTTTAGCTACAGAATTAATACTAATTTTAAAAACATGAACATATAAAAAATTCTCTAATAATTATGACAATAATAATAAAATTTTTAAAAGTAAAATTAAAAATTTGAAATTAATCAATTTTGTTATTACAGCAGAGTCCCATGAACTCAACTTAATGTGGACTGAGAAGGTGACAAGTTACCAAAAATGACAAGTTTTATGGATAGTGATGATGCTAGTGAGAACCACAAGTCTAGAGATGATCATAGTGCAATTAAAAATAATTTTAACAGAAGATACTAAAGGTACTTTTTAACAATGACGCAAAAAATCAGCAAATGCATATCATTTGAAATAAAAATGAGAAATTCTATCTCACTTACAGTGTATAGATTATAAATAAAACAATATTTCATCACCTAGTTTATGATTATATATTGGGTTGAACCAAAAGTTCGTTCAGTTTTTAGAAAGAAATAAAATATACTATTTTGGAATAAATAAAAACCTTTAATTCACAATGTGTTCAACCTTCTGTTTGATAACCTTATGCCACCTGACAGGTAATTTCATAATTCCAAATTTTAATTGTGAAATTTTAATAAAAGTGAAATTTTAATAAAAATATTATGTGCAAATTCATATACATATTAACCATATACACTGTTGAACCTCGCTTAACGAGCATGATTCGTTCCAGAACCTTACTCATAACATGAAATACACGTTAAACAAAACAATTTTTCCCATATAAATTGATGTAAAATACGATAATGCGTTCCACGCCAAAAAAAAAAAAAATACTGAAATATTTTATGTATAACATTTATTCAAAGAAAATTATACAATATACATTGTTAAGGAGTGTGAATCATCTTTATCTTTGTTTCTAGCATGAAATGAACCAACCTGGAATGCAAATTTGATTTGCAGAAAATAAATAAAAATCAAAATACAGTAATTTCTAATATTTAATTATAGCCTTGGCATATCATTTGGCGTATTTATTATATAATGAGCTATGGTTGTTGATATTTATGTGTAACAGGTCTGAACAAAAGTTAGTAAAAATATGTGATCAGAAATGACACTAAGATGCTAGCGGAATGAGTGCNATATATTCCAATATTGAAACGACAATTTATTTTAAAATACTTGAACAGAACGAAAAATGTCAAAATTCCTATTTTTTAAAATAGAATTTCTGGTTTAAAGATATATATTATTTTAAAAATAAAATCTGGAAACTTTTTATAAAAAGCTGTTGAAGATTTTTCGTCCGGTTCTCCTGGATTTGAAATCTTTTGTGTTTGTCTAATTTTCCTAGTGCGTTACGTATTCCCTCTGCTTCTTCCGGATAAGAAACCAGGATGTTACGGTCACAACATCCGTAACTATTTTCAGAAGTAAACGACAAAAGGAAAAATTGCAATCGGGTCAAGTTCTTACAAAAGAGCTTCGGGCGACGCCATCTTTGATGTTGCTGAATGATGTTTGAGAAAAATATACTGTTTTTATTACGGATTTTATTTTTATTTTTAATGCATCATTTCGTAAATTTATCTAAAACATTAGAAAATAACACTTAATTTCTTTAAATAAATTTTAAAACTGCAGGGGTTTTTCTCTTTACGTAACTTTTATCTATTTCTGCCCGTGTTCTCTATTGTTTGTATAAATTTAGATTTCGTGATTAACATTTTTTTCCATTATTATTATTTTAAGAATGATTTCATACCAGACGAAAGAAAAAGTAATTTTCTTTATTAGTTTAAATAAAATAATTTAAAAGCAAGCTATTTTAATTTATTGCACAATCATATCTTATTTCTAACATAAATTTAGAAATCAAATTTTTATTTTTAGGTTAGAAATGACTATTACTATCCATTTTAGTTAAAAACAAAAACTTTTAAGGTATTTATGCAACTGAAAGCAATTGCTTTGATTTATACCAGTGATTTCCTAACTTACAATTAAGTGGCAGGCCAAATTGTGCATAAGTCATAGTTAGGTGAGTTACAGATATTTTGTATGTTTCACATATACTAAAAGTAGGCACACTTCTATCATTTATAAATGGCGTGTCAAATATGTTTGTAAGCCAAATTAACATATGCCACAGGCCAGATTTGATCTGGGACTGCAATTTGGGCACCACTCTGGAAATTTTTATACAATTTCCAGAAAACTACAGGCTAACATACAGATAACAACCTTTAAAATTTGTTCACATTTTAGTTTACGACTTAATGCTTAAAAGCAAAAAGTAATTGTTTTAGTAAGAATAATTTTATTGGAAAGATTTGTGTTTTGATCAATGAATTGTTCCAGACAATAATCCTTGGTTGCAATTAAGAAGCTATCAAATCAAATATTGACCTTGATAACAGACAAATATCTCTATTGCCAGTACAGGGCACTCCACTCTCATACAAATCCAAACTTATTATTGTGATATTGTTCAGGGCTGGGCAAAACGTATAGCCTGATAAAAATAAAACAACAAAAACAACCAACTGGATGAATATATTTCTTAAAATATCAATACACAGCTAAAGGTATGCTATTTGGAATAATTGCACACAGAGTGAAACAGCAGCACTCTGTGTGTAGTCATGAAAAAAACCACATTCAATTGCATTGGGGAAAGAATGACGTAATTAAAAACAATGAATCTACCATAACTATGCAAAAAATCTGATCCATTCTGGGCTGGAGAAGAATGCTAAAGTCCATTACTGTCTGCATGATACTGAGGTAAGTGAGAGTTCCAGAATACTGTATCATGAAGAAATGATAAGAGCACTAGACAGCCAAAGACTGAACAGACCCCTCAGAGGGTGCAATCCTTGGCAATCGGCCAACAGGGACTCAATAGTGCTTGAAATATCATCTCACTCATTATGCCACATCATCCACACTGATCTGCACTTTTGTCCCTACAAAATCCAGATCATGCAACGTTTGAAAAAGTAGGAAAAAAGTGCATTGAATGACCTTCACCACAAATTTCCTAGGACTTTGGCGACTGACTCACTAATTTTGAACAACTTTTAATGCCCAACAAGGCCCATTTTGAACTATCTGAGAGTGCAAACAGGCAAAATTTCAGATATTGAACAAAAAACAAACTCCTGCTAAATGAAAGACTATACCATAGTGAATGTATCACAATGTGGCATGGCATTGCATTGTTTGGCATCACAGATGCAATTCTTTGAGAACACTCAGGGTTATGTTGTTGCTGTTAACAGCAATAACTGTCAAGGTGTTAAATGAATTTTTCATTTTGGAGCAGACTAACCTGAACTTAAAGTATAGTGGAACTATACTTTAAGTTCAGTTAGTCTGCTCCAAAATGAAAAATTCATTTAACAGAGTCTGAGTAACAGTGCTGCTGTTCCACTCTGTGTGCAATTATTCCAAATAGCATATCTTTAACTGTGTATTGATATTTTAAGAAATATATTCATCCAGTGGTTGGTTTTGTTGTCTTATTTTTATCAGGTTATACATTTTGCCCAAGACAGAGCAACAGTCCTTATTGCACGTCAGTCCATCACAATTGTGAAATCCGGAATTTTTGTCGACTATCTGTCGATTAATGCTTGTTAAGCAAGGTTCCACTGTACCAATAGTAATTNTTATGATTATATATTGGGTTGAACCAAAAGTTCGTTCAGTTTTTAGAAAGAAATAAAATATACTATTTTGGAATAAATAAAAACCTTTAATTCACAATGTGTTCAACCTTCTGTTTGATAACCTTATGCCACCTGACAGGTAATTTCATAATTCCAAATTTTAATTGTGAAATTTTAATAAAAGTGAAATTTTAATAAAAATATTATGTGCAAATTCATATACATATTAACCATATACACTGTTGAACCTCGCTTAACGAGCATGATTCGTTCCAGAACCTTACTCATAACATGAAATACACGTTAAACAAAACAATTTTTCCCATATAAATTGATGTAAAATACGATAATGCGTTCCACGCCAAAAAAAAAAAAAATACTGAAATATTTTATGTATAACATTTATTCAAAGAAAATTATACAATATACATTGTTAAGGAGTGTGAATCATCTTTATCTTTGTTTCTAGCATGAAATGAACCAACCTGGAATGCAAATTTGATTTGCAGAAAATAAATAAAAATCAAAATACAGTAATTTCTAATATTTAATTATAGCCTTGGCATATCATTTGGCGTATTTATTATATAATGAGCTATGGTTGTTGATATTTATGTGTAACAGGTCTGAACAAAAGTTAGTAAAAATATGTGATCAGAAATGACACTAAGATGCTAGCGGAATGAGTGCTAAACACAGACTGATGTAGCATGCACACAATCCAGGACTTTCCCTCTCCTCATTACTTGTTATGCAAAATGTTGCTCATCAAGTGAGTCATTTTTTAAACAATTTGTTTTGCTCATTATGTGAATTACTCATTATGAGAGGTGCTTGTTAAGCAAGGTTCCACTGTACCAATAGTAATTATTTCTATTTGTAGTTAAATTTTAATTAAAAAATGCATTGGCTTTTTGCATTGGCATTTCACAGATGCACCTTGAGAAAAGTGTTATATTCTTTGTTAACATGTGGAATTTATGCTATTATCAAGTGTCACCAGTGAAGAATAACTTGCTCAATCCTATATAACATTGTAGAAATAAACATTAGATTACATTTATTATTATTATTAATAATAATAATAAATTTTGTTTTGGTTGCTATGCCTTGACTCTGGTCCGGCATAGTACACAGCCACCGGTGTGAACCGAGTATTACCCACTAAACCCAACATAATAATAATAATAATAATATTATTATTATTATAATGACAAGTTTCTGAGACACTACTGTATTGTAAAAATTAAATACCTATAATTAGTGATTTCCCATCACGATTTTCATCATGTGTCTTCATATGAGATTCTAATGACTTTTTCTTGAAAAATCCTGAAAAGAAAAAGTAATTTTCTTTATTAGTTTAAATAAAATAATTTAAAAGCAAGCTATTTTAATTTATTGCACAATCATATCTTATTTCTAACATAAATTTAGAAATCAAATTTTTATTTTTAGGTTAGAAATGACTATTACTATCCATTTTAGTTAAAAACAAAAACTTTTAAGGTATTTATGCAACTGAAAGCAATTGCTTTGATTTATACCAGTGATTTCCTAACTTACAATTAAGTGGCAGGCCAAATTGTGCATAAGTCATAGTTAGGTGAGTTACAGATATTTTGTATGTTTCACATATACTAAAAGTAGGCACACTTCTATCATTTATAAATGGCGTGTCAAATATGTTTGTAAGCCAAATTAACATATGCCACAGGCCAGATTTGATCTGGGACTGCAATTTGGGCACCACTCTGGAAATTTTTATACAATTTCCAGAAAACTACAGGCTAACATACAGATAACAACCTTTAAAATTTGTTCACATTTTAGTTTACGACTTAATGCTTAAAAGCAAAAAGTAATTGTTTTAGTAAGAATAATTTTATTGGAAAGATTTGTGTTTTGATCAATGAATTGTTCCAGACAATAATCCTTGGTTGCAATTAAGAAGCTATCAAATCAAATATTGACCTTGATAACAGACAAATATCTCTATTGCCAGTACAGGGCACTCCACTCTCATACAAATCCAAACTTATTATTGTGATATTGTTCAGGGCTGGGCAAAACGTATAGCCTGATAAAAATAAAACAACAAAAACAACCAACTGGATGAATATATTTCTTAAAATATCAATACACAGCTAAAGGTATGCTATTTGGAATAATTGCACACAGAGTGAAACAGCAGCACTCTGTGTGTAGTCATGAAAAAAACCACATTCAATTGCATTGGGGAAAGAATGACGTAATTAAAAATAATGAATCTACCATAACTATGCAAAAAATCTGATCCATTCTGGGCTGGAGAAGAATGCTAAAGTCCATTACTGTCTGCATGATACTGAGGTAAGTGAGAGTTCCAGAATACTGTATCATGAAGAAATGATAAGAGCACTAGACAGCCAAAGACTGAACAGACCCCTCAGAGGGTGCAATCCTTGGCAATCGGCCAACAGGGACTCAATAGTGCTTGAAATATCATCTCACTCATTATGCCACATCATTCACACTGATCTGCACTTTTGTCCCTACAAAATCCAGATCATGCAACGTTTGAAAAAGTAGGAAAAAAGTGCATTGAATGACCTTCACCACAAATTTCCTAGGACTTTGGCGACTGACTCACTAATTTTGAACAACTTTTAATGCCCAACAAGGCCCATTTTGAACTATCTGAGAGTGCAAACAGGCAAAATTTCAGATATTGAACAAAAAACAAACTCCTGCTAAATGAAAGACTATACCATAGTGAATGTATCACAATGTGGCATGGCATTGCATTGTTTGGCATCACAGATGCAATTCTTTGAGAACACTCAGGGTTATGTTGTTGCTGTTAACAGCAATAACTGTCAAGGTGTTAAATGAATTTTTCATTTTGGAGCAGACTAACCTGAACTTAAAGTATAGTGGAACTATACTTTAAGTTCAGTTAGTCTGCTCCAAAATGAAAAATTCATTTAACAGAGTCTGAGTAACAGTGCTGCTGTTCCACTCTGTGTGCAATTATTCCAAATAGCATATCTTTAACTGTGTATTGATATTTTAAGAAATATATTCATCCAGTGGTTGGTTTTGTTGTCTTATTTTTATCAGGTTATACATTTTGCCCAAGACAGAGCAACAGTCCTTATTGCACGTCAGTCCATCACAATTGTGAAATCCGGAATTTTTGTCGACTATCTGTCGATTAATTGTCCCGTATTTGCTTAAAATCCAATTAAATTTTCCTTTAACTTAAAGTGAAACCTAACGAAAAAAAAAACCCTTTTCGTTTATGTTCGACATAAACATCCGTTCAATTCGAAACTAATCCCACATTCCAACTGATAAGTTGATAGTTAGCATGGTCCCGGGAACAACTCTGACCCATCTGCATACCTTTTACCTCACAACAATTGGTCACATGACCATTCTCCCACGCCGAACTTATAAAAACCCCTTCCTTCCCCTTCTCGGGGGAGTCGTTCATTCGCCGTCACTTTTACAACTGTGTCCTATGAATATTGTGTCCTATTAATATACTGTGTCCTATCCGATATTGTGTCCTGAAGAAAAATTATTATCCTAATCCTACCACATCGTTGGATATCAAAACCTTTTTCCTTAAGAATATTCAAAGACATAAAGAGGTATGGACCTTATTTTTGTGAACTCTCTCTCGGTCCTTCGCGGTTCAGGGATTCAGATTTTCCCTTTTGAAATTGGTTATTGTAATCTCTATGTAGCTAATAAATCGTTGTTATCCTGTTAAAGTGGTGTTATCCTTACTCGTATATCGCCGGTCATCTTACCGACGCACTCCTCCCTCCGCCACTCGACCCGAAACATTTAATCTCGTTACCACGGGAAAGGTTAAAATTTTAATCCATCCTGACCAGTGAGAAGGGTTTAACGACCTGTCGCCGGATCGGGAGACCTACACCCTCCCCGGCGGTTCACACAATCATGTGACACGCATTTCCCAATATGCTGATTTCAGATTTGGAGACATTCACTGGCCAGCAAGGTCACCAGATTTGGCTATTCTGGACTTTTTCTTGTGGGATATCTGAAATGTCAGATATTTTCTACATGCCCTCAAACATTGATGCACCTGAAGAACCATATAATTGATACTGAGCAGAATATTCCTCTTGACATATTATATCATGTAATGCAAGCTTTCATCCATCAGTTGAAAAAATGAACTGTGCACAGTGGTGACTACATACCTGGTGTGATATTCAGAAAAAGACTTTTGAAGGTTGTGCTATGCAAATGGCCTATCTTTAATCGTGTACTCATGTTATTTTGAAAAATAGTCATCTAGTTATTTATGTTTTTCTGCCTCATTTATATCTATATACATTTTGCCCAATCCTATATTAGTAAAAAGTTCAGATTAGTGGGGTATCTTAGTGTTATTTTGTGTATGTGTTTATATAAACACATACACAAAATAACACTAAGATATATTGTGAAATCTTTTTCACTTCATATCATGAAATCTATTCTTCTGCTGCATATATAAAGGGATTGCCTCAATTAATTTCGCATTTTAATCAAATTCCACATTAAGCAAGGAATATCTGTATTAATTTTGAAATTTTAGACATCACATGCTGTATGGAGAATATAATTTCCCTCCCAGTACAGTTTCTAAATCTCTATAATAATAGTATTATATATGTATGTATGTTGTAATTGTTGTTTGTTAGAGTTTTAAAGGTAAATTTTACATGTTTGTCTGTTTGATACAATGAATTTTTTTATTAAGAGTTAAAAGAATTTCAAACTGTATATTATAATTTAGTATGAAAAAATAGATTTAATTGATGTAAGAATTTATTATTACATTGTTATTCTACGCTATCAATATAAAACAAATGCACTCTTGCTAATTCAAATTCCACTCATTTTGATTCAGTTTCATTCGTTTTTCCATTACATATTCTGGCCAAAAACAAATTGGAATCATAGATAATTTTTTTTAAAACATGACTAATTTGTAAGATAAATATATATACTATACTTTTTAACATATATATACAAAATAAGTATAAATCTATATAGCATAAAATAACAATGTAATAATAATAAATTCCTACATCAATTAAATCTATTTTTTCATATTAAATCATATGCCTCTGTGTCCTTATCTTATAGTTTAGTATTAAAATGTCTAAATCCGAGTAGACATTTTAAATACTGAACTATTTTTTCATACTAAATTATAATATATATACGGTTTGAATTTTTTAAAACTATTATTAAAAAAAATTCTTTGTATCAAACAGACAAACATGTAAAATTTACCTTTAAAACTTTTTAACAAACAACAATTAGAATATATATAATACTATATTTATAGAAATTTAGAAACTGTACTGGGAAAAAAATATGTCCATACAGCATGTGATATCTAAAATTTCAAAACTAATACAGATATCCCTTGCTTAATGCAGAATTTAATTGAGATGATCCCTTTATATATGCAACAGAAGTTTTAATTTATACGACTTTACCAGCTATCTTTACTTAACATAGATACTGTATTTTGATTAAAATGATTTTGTTATACATGGTTGGAGGATCAAGGGAATAATTAACCATGTTAATCAAAAGATACTTGTATTAGCAATGTAGGTTTTGTAAGTTAAAAAGTAATTTATCAAAAATTTATTACCTCTAGTACAAATGCTACATTTGTAATCTGTATCTCCACGATGCATCCTTAAATGATTGTATAATCCAACTTTTGTTGCAAGTTTTCGATTGCATCCCTCCCAAGGACAAGGAGTTGGTGGACTGAAAATGAATTACATTAATGTAAATTTAATAATAAAGAAAAAAATCAAATATATTAATCAAGACATAAAGCATCATGTATGACTATATTATATTGCAACATAAATTAAAATTTTTAAATATTATTGCATACAATAGAAATAACTACATACAAATATTTTACAGATAAAAATATTTCATCACATTCATTCTCAAGTATTATAGAAAATATTGTAATGATAAGCAATAATAATTTTTGGAGATGTTTATTTTATAATGCTAATACCATTATAGCATTGACATAAATTTGAATTTACTAAAAAACTATAATCAGTAATATAAATATTTAATAATAAAAGAAAAATAGAACTAAGAAGCTTATGATACAAGAAGTTCTAAATATATATTTTATTCAATTTAACTCATAAAATGTCTAAATCTGAAATCACAAATTTCAGATTTAATTTAGGAATTGAATAAAAACCACTACATTGCATTCAGGGTCACTTTTTACTAGTCCTCATTCTTTTTCTTTCTTTCTTTTTTAACAGAATAGAAATGAGAACCAATAGAACTAGTGAACAAGTTTAATTTATTCAACTGAGTTAATTCAGTGTAGTCTCATTATAACATTGAAATTAATGAAAAATCATATTTGAAGTATCAATATGTAGTTAATTCTATTATATAATAACATATGTCTGTCTTTAGTTTTAGTCATTCAATCGTATAAAATATTTAATATTTACTTCATGTCTAATTCAATCCCTGATATTACTTATAATTTCAGAATACAATTTGCCAAACCATATAGCAAGCAATTTAAAACAAATTTTAATTGTGTTTTCTCAAAATTATTATTTTAAGCCACACTTACGCATGAACTTCCATATGAGCCATCAGTTGTTCTCTCTGTAAAAATCGTCTATGACATTTCTGGCACTCATGCACAATACTATGTGAGGATAAATGGCTCCAAAGAGCTTGAGAACTCTGCATTTTTGAACCGCATATCTGTTGAATTAAAAACAATTGAGAAATCAAGAAATGTTTAATAGAAACTCAAATTATCTAACTTAATTATTTATATAAAAAACAAAAAATTACTTAAAAAATATATAGGATAAATATATATTATATATATATGCACAGACACACACAAGACCCATGTTAATTATCCATTCCTTCCACAGAGATGCCACATTAGCAGCAGTGTTGGATTACCAAGTGACCAAGTATATATAAAACTAAAACCTATCTAAAAGCATAAATGACATGACCCATAGCCCTTCAGTAAGATTCTTTTTGAAGGTGAGTGTGCAAATAATATGGCACACTGACATTAACTACTGTACATGAAAATGATACTAGAGTAAATGGGAAAACAGGACATATCATGTAATTAACATTTTCGCAGAAACAGAAGTACATAGGTGATTATATTGGGAAGGATGCCTAATAACTGAAACCAGAGTAGAGCAAAAGTGTGCTGTATGTATAAAACTATGTTTCTATCATCTTTTAGCAAGTTACCTAAATTTTATTTTCAAAGAACATTTGATTAGTCTAACATAATCAATATTCCTTTCTTAAAAAAATAATTTTAATTCATTTCATTTCACATTATTTACCTAAATCTTTATAATATTTTATTTTAGAGACCAAAATGGTTCTGACAATTCTTATTTAAATACAATAGGGGGAAAAGATATGTTTTTGAACAAATAAATTCTAAATAAACTAGCTAACAGGAAAGAAAACAATATTTCTCTATTTATTAAACTATGCTTATAAGAAACAAAAATACAATTACCTCACAGACATTTGCTAACTCTGGATGTATACTCTGAATATGATTTCGTCTCGGTCCTGGTTGGACAAATAAAAGTCCACAATGTTGACACTGATATTGATGACTTTCAGTCTCCATATGTTTGACAAATGTTGCGAACAGACCAAACCAACTGTGACAGACTTTGCATCGGTAATTTCGAGGTTCCGTCCGGTTATATTTTTCCTATAAATAAAGTTTTGTTAAAATTTTAATTTTAGTAAACTTAATTTTTATATCAATTACACTTACCTGTACTTTCATATATTTATTAGCATGTTCAGGACTTAGTAAATGTTCTTGAAGAACTTCATTGTCTCCAAACACCATATCACACATACTACAGAAGCTTTCAGATTTTTGATTGTGTTGCATAGCATGACGTTGAAAAGCTGCTGTGTTTCGAAATGTGCGACCACACGCACTAATAATGCACTGAAATCTCTTTTCCAAATCATGTAAATTATGCATGTGCAAATAATACAGAGCATAGCTTTTAATTACAGCATCACACAGATGGCAATAATGTCCAATTTTTGCAGGAAATCCCAATTCTGCCAACTGATTATCGGTAGGAAGATCACACATGCGCACTTCTTTAATACTCGCATTTTGATCCTTTGCATCATCTTGGCTCAATTTTGTACTTTCTGACAAATTTTTCTTTTCTTTATCTTCTTCTTCAACAATGCTTTTATTATTTTGTATAATGCTGTCATTTGCAATTGAACTTTTATTCATGTCATCTTTATTATTTTCTACAGCATTCGGAAGTTGTTGACTATCTTCATTTACTTGTTGTAAAAGACTGTCTGCTAAAAAAAGATTAATTATAATTAACTGAAAACATTTTATGAAATTCTCCAAATCAATAATAATAAAATTATTTTTTAAAATTTACCTTCAATGCCTTCTAAAGACAAAGCTTGTGAATTATTTTCTTTTAATGTGTCTAACTCTTGAGATTCATTTTTATTTATTTCTTGAGATAAAATTTCTTGAGTGATTACTGCAGCATTTTCGTTTGAAGGATTATCCATTAAATCATCTTCATTTTGAGCTAATTAATATATTTAAATGAAACATGATTGAATATTCACAATAATATTAGAAATAATTAAAGGAGTTACCAGGAAAGCCTTCTTCCTCTGAATAGTCAATGGTTTTCTTGTCTACCCATCTCATATGCACATGATGCTGATGATGGTTGCATTGATTACGACTAGTAAATCTCATGCAGCATATGAAACATATATTATCATCAGAACTTTCACCATTTTCTACTTGAGGTAACTGTCCTATTATTTCTTCTGGTGGAGCATGAATACCATCAGCCATATGTTTCTAAAAATATATAAATAATTTATTAAATTAAATATCTTACAGCATTGAGATAAACACTATGGCTCCATGTTGTACACAAAATCATTATAATCTTGCATCAAGATCTTTTTACTGATATAATATATTACTGGCATTCTGATTGGGATACAATGTGGCACATTAATAATGCATTCAAAAGAGTCATAAATTGTACACAATTTTGTAATCATTCTGTAAAAAGATTCTTGGAGAATGACATAATCCTGGAAAATTTATCACACACACACACACACACACACACACACACACACACACACACACACACACACCAACATACTGAATTAATTACGGTGAGAGTTTGGATTAGGAAAATTTATGGCATCAGAAAAATTTCATAAAATCTGGTATTAAACTTAACTCAAAACTCTTTTTTATGCATTATAGTTTGGCCTGTTATAGTTTGACCTGTTAATGAGGTTTTTATTTTATAACAATAAGCTTACCTTAATATCTTCTTCTGAAGAAAATGTTAATGAACAATTGTTACACTTGTAAAATAATGTTGACTTTGAGTTTGTAACAGCAGTCTCTTTCTCTTGAGGAGACTGTTCACAATTAATAAGAGGACAGTTAGATATGTGACCCATCAAATCTCTAGCATCTCCACAAGGTTGAAGACATTTAGCACATGACCAGATCTGTGGACCTGCAAAAATAAAAATTATAAATGTTAAAATAATTAGTTTTTTATTACAATTACTCCCTGCTACCATGTTTTCAATATAGAAGATTACTTTCAAATATAAAAGTTTCTGGCAATATGTCACATGCTTTTTAAGTTATAAATTTCTGATATACTGAAAATTAAATGTCAACTTAAAAAAAACAAAAAATTAATTGCTGGCTCAGTTGCTAGCTATGTCAAAGTATATTAAACATTTTAAAATAATTTTAAATCTTGATATAACCATCCACGATTACTCATGGCACTGACTAGGGACAACTCCTATGTCCACGGCCTATATACTCATCCACTATGGCACTCAGCCAGCTATCATTTTACCCTGGCATAGTATGTGTGTATGTAACATTATTCTATCTTATTTCATGAAAATACAAGTTAGAGTAACTTTCTACATGCTAAATCAAAAAATAAATTTTTTGTAATCTGCTTATATTTAATATCCTATATTTACAAAACAAGTTAACATTCATTAATAATTTATTAATGAATATCTGCAAATTGTAAATTGTAGTTATTAATTTATTTAGCTGATATCTATGCATTATATAATCTTAGCACTGTTCAATTCAAACTATCTTAATTATACTAAATAAAAACAAATTCATAACAATAAATTTAACCTCCATTTAAATTAACAAAAAATAATAATTTACCTGTCTGAACTGCATGTGATAACAGTATGTGTTTATTCAGTCTTTCTTTCCCATGAACATAAACAGAACAAACTGAGCATTGCAAGTGAGGACCTGGTTGTTCTTGTAAATGACGCTGTTTAACATGAGTTCGAAGACGACTTGGACGGGAAGTACAATAATTACAGTAACGACAAACATATGTCTGCATTCGATGAACACTTTTCATATGTTTATGATGAGTGACAAAATCTTCCGATGCACAGGAACATATACTACAATAAAAAGAATTCCCTAATTCAGTGACTGCTGACTCGGGTACAAGTCTCACAATCTTTTCGTGAGAAGAAGGATAATGCTCTCGAACTTCGCACAATGTCTTAAGAGTGACTTCACAGAATCGGCAAGCAGAATTTAAAGTTGTATCTTCTGTTACGTCTGACGGTACACAAACAAACACAATATTTTCACTAAATTCCGCTTTCCAACTCTGTACAGCCAATTCATGAACGACATGATAATGCTTTTCCAAATCAACAGGAAAACGAAGTGTATATTTTCCCCGGCAAAACAAACACTGCAAAGTTGGATCGTTGGGCGAATACACTTGACGAAACAGATACATTCCAATTAATTTTTCAGCATTTTCTGCTTCACCCAAAGGCAATTCACTTTCAACTAGTTGTATAGTGTTTGGTAATTTTAGTGTTCCGGAATCATCAATATCTAAAGTACATTCTTCCAATAAAGGACGAGTATCAGCCTTTTTCTTGGATGTCTGCAATGACAAAAACACACACATAAAAAATTTATAATATAGTTATTTTCATTAAATATTTATGAATTATAATTATAAATTACTATTGTAATGTTTTGCAGTTGAGATAAATTAACGAAAATAGATTAAATACTATTATAAACTTAAAAGCATTTAAATCTTCTACTGTTTAACAGTTTCCTTGCTATCCACAATCTCACTTTACACATTTTCTGCTATATCCCTTTCAGGTCTGATGGGACTCAAGTCTCAACTTCTTTAACTGATTTTAGAAACACTTCTAGAACCTGTCAAGACTAGTAAGCCATGTGCTAAATTAGTTTTCTGTTTTCTCAGCAGGTGGCAGGAAGATATATAATTTAATTTTTCTTAGTTTGTTTCAATAGTGTATAAATGACTGCCTACTTATAGAAGTTTTTTACACTAGTTGGATCATTTGTTAATGAATAGGTAAAGATATTTTTATTTTGATTGGCATTTTTCTGATTTAAATATAAGTAAACTTTTAAAATGCTAAATATTCTTTCAACTGACTTATTTACTGAAAACATTGATGTTTATTTTTTTCAGACTTAGCAGTCCCATTAGATCAAATTGCTGATGTAAATTTTTACATATGAATCTGTAAAAATGCCTGCATTAAAGATGCTAACTGTTCTTGTTAAAGTATAAAATAGTTACTACAAATACATATACAGTACATATTGTGAGATTTAAAAAAAGAAAAAAGAGATACACAATATCAGAATTTAAAAGTTCATTGTCAGAATTTCACAAATTTTGCCCAATGTTGTGAATGGTGTTCAAGTAAAAAAATTGTACTGCTAATACACAGTAAATTGATATATGCAATGCAACAGTGTTGTAATGAAAAAAAAAAATTTTTTTTTGCATTTCACAACAACACTGTGACGAAAAATGCCTCAGGACCAGAAAGACCTTTTAATTATTTTTTAAATGTAATTTACATTTTATGTACCTCGAAGCCTGGTGTGCAATTAACTTCAAAAAATGAAAAAATAAAATGTCACAAACATTTTCAAACCTTCAACAGTTCTTCAGGAGGCAACGAATTTCCATTAGAAAGTCATTAAATATGAAAATTATTCAAAATTTGAATATGCGCTAACCATTGAATTTTTACCAGGCATCCGCACTACATACGTAGCAAATGACGAGAATTTATAGTGCTTTGTCCACTAACACTTGACATGCCAAAGATAGATTTATTTCTTCCTTGTAGTTGATGTAGATGTGCTGAGTTTGTATATGTATAAGGCTTCAAACCATTTTAGATGTTTAGTGTATGGTGTGCTGTGGATAATTCTCGCCTGGCTAAAATTATCCACAACACACCATACACTAAACATCTGAAGTAGTTTGAAGTACATTCCAATTAATTTTTCAGCATTTTCTGCTTCACCCAAAGGCAATTCACTTTCAACTAGTTGTATAATGTTTGGTAATTTCAGTGTTCTGGAATCATCAATATCTAAAGTACATTCTTCCAATAAAGAACAAGTATCAGCCTTTTTCTTGGATGTTTGCAACGTTTTGTGATCACTTACCTTTTTAATAAATTATTTTTTATTACAAAAATCTGTGCATTGTAGTATAAATTATTTTAAGTTTTTATTGGTGAACAAAATTGATTATAATTGGGGTTGTAATTAGATGAATAGCATGTAGCAAAAAAATTAAAAATTTCATATAACAACATAACAGTTTAGTCTACAGACTCTTTTTGCTAAACAGGAAATGACATCATGTTTAAAACTGCTTTTATAAGTTTTAAATGTAGAGTGACCATAACTATTTTATTATTTTACTACTAATGATACAGTAAAATAATAAAATAATTGTTACACAAATAAAAAACTAAAATAAACTGTAAACTGTAATAAAAATAAAAAAAACTGTGAAGGATCAAACCCATATTGTGTGGCTCCTGTGACTAGAACCTTATCCACCTGCCTATTGCCATTCAGAGATGTGGAACCTCAAAAAACTTATAAGCTAAATACTCAATTTTCAGAGGCCTGTTTTTCAGAAATGCTTGAGAAGTGGATATTATTTGGACAAGTAGATGTTTGTGTTTAGGACTATGTGCTCACCAAGTTTTATTTGAACTGGAGACCCAAATATCTGACCCTCTCTTTGTTAACTAATTCTAATTCTTCTAGTAAGCTTCAAGTAAGATAACTCAGATGTTGAGAATTAGAATGTCAATTTCGATTCTGTTATTGCACATAACCACGACATGAGGTTTTCCTTTAAATTTGTAGATCCTTTATTTGCATAGTCAGATATATATATCCTCACTGTGCATTCAGATAATAGAATATCAAAGAATTCCCTTGTCCACTTTAACAAATCTGCTATAGAAATTTGGCTCTTCTGGGAAGTATAGTGTCAAAAGGACTGTACAGTGGGCGATCGGTTAATGAACATAATCCATTCCAAGACTTTGTTCGCTATCTGAATTGTTCGTTAACCGATTATCTATTTACCATAGGTTTTAATGGGAATTTAATTAATTCGTCCTGGATAACCCCCAAAAACAAAAAATATATATACTTTCTTACTATGTTTATTTATATGTAATAATAAAAATACATACATACAGTCTTGCATTTTTTATTAATCATGTTTTTCCCATTTGAAAGGGTTAAAGAATCTGTCTAATGTCGATTGCTTTTCTCTCCAGGATTTTTCGTAAGTAATTAATAGGATTGCAATTGTAGAAATCCCCAAGCCTCAATCTGGTTTGGATGCCATTCTAAGACCGTTGTTCTGACATCCTCCCACTTCATCAAAAGATCTTTAATAGCAGATATTGGCATTAATCCTCTTTTTCAGAAGAAAACATATCTCGCCGAGTTTCTTGGTGTTATTCTGTCATCAGGTCCATTTCAAGTTCCATTATAAACTCTTCGATGTTCTTTATTTCTCAGATTGATTTTTGTTACTCCTTTAGCTGCTTGAGTCTTCTTGATTATACAGTATCTTTCTTAAATAAGACTGAACTATGGCCTACTGTAGACTAGTTCACGCCATACTGCCCAGCAACATTGGGCATCTTCTGCCCACTCTCTACCTTTGCTATTATACTCTCACATTTCGGGGGGGACCAGGTACAAAACTTAACGAGCGCCTACCCGACAGTCTCGTGAATACATAAAATAATTGTTTTTGTCAGAAAAATAAAAGGCTGGAATTTCAAGGTAGAGTTTCAAAGTTCGAAGGAATACTATCCGATCAGTATATACCGCCTTGAGCCGAAAAGTTTTGAATTGTTGCCCGAAGACAAGAGCAACAATTCCCTTCTGGCAACAGATTTAGATATGAATACCAATCGGTATTCATTATTTTACGTCGCTGCTTCTTGTGTTTGTTCTGTGGGGTGTTCGTTATCCAAACATAAAAATCTTTTGCGAAAGTATTCATTATCCGATCTGTTCGTTAACCGATCACCCACTGTAGTTGCCTAGAACTTACAATGGGACCTTACAGTCTCGGAAATTCAGTTTGGAATGAGACTTTGCAGGTTAGTAGTATAACTCAAGGGTGTCACCCAGAAGAATTGTAAAGTGCACTAGCCAGAAGATTCTGAGGAAAAAGGCTCTAAAGTTTTAAGCGCAGCTCATATACTGATTGATTTTACACTATGGCAGCACAGCAAAATGGCTGAGTCTGTAGCAAACTCGCTTGCCACGTGGGCAATCTAGGTTCAATCTTACCTTCGGAAAACTTTTTTTTTTTAACTGTTTTAAAAATTTAACAACTTTTAAATAAAGTTAATGACCTAAAAGTATTATCAATTAAATCATAAATAATGTTATTTTATTTATGAAATGACTGTTACAGCTAATTAAAATGTGAATTAAAGATAATATTTTATTTCTAAAGAGTTGAATAATTTCAAATGTTTTCCGAAGGTAGGATCGAACCTAGATCGCCTGCGTGGCAAGCGAGTTTGCTACAGACTCAGCCATTTTGCTGTGCTGCCATAGTGTAAAATCAATCAGTATATGAGCTGCGCTTAAAACTTTAGAGCCTTTTTTCTCGGAATCTTCTGGCTAGTGCACTTTACAATTCTTCTGGGTGGACACCCTTGAGGTATACTACTAACCTGCAAAGTCACATCCCGAACTGANTCAGTATATGAGCTGCGCTTAAAACTTTAGAGCCTTTTTTCTCGGAATCTTCTGGCTAGTGCACTTTACAATTCTTCTGGGTGGACACCCTTGAGGTATACTACTAACCTGCAAAGTCACATCCCGAACTGAATTTCCAAGACCGTAAGGTCCCCTCGTTAGTAGCAGTTTTCTTCCTAAAGTTTTCCTGGAAGAGTGGTCCTCCTTTCTCAAAAACATTTTATGATTTCTTGTACTGTCTGATATATCTGTACTAGTGATGTGCCGGATATCCGTATCCATATCCGCAGATATCCAAGGGAAAAAAAAATCCGTATTCATATCTGTATCCATTACTTTTTAGCGGATCTTTAACGGATCTTTTATCTTAATGAATTTCATTACTTATAGAAATTTTAAAGATAGGGAGCAATAAAATACTAATAACGTCAATTCAAATCACTTTTTATTTCTTAAAATCACATATTTGGCACATTCATATTGCAAAAATTTTATCATGAAAAATTCATTTACTATCGTAAAATATTTCCATATTAGACTACTAAACTTTTTGTCGACATTGTTTTTATTTTAATTTAACTCAACACTCTCCAAAAATACAAACGTGTAATCTATGCTATCCCGTGTCACACTAAACTGTAAACAAAAACACGCACAGTGCAAGTCAAAACACATCGCGTTACTAACGCAAAGCATCAATTATCGGTCCAAAGTCACACGCACAGGTGCCGACTGAGTACGAAAGTTCAGATCCGTATTCGTAAATCTAGACACTAATGATCCGTATCTGTATCCATATCCGCGGATATACATTTTTAATGATCCGCCACATAACTAATCTGT